AAAAAACTGTATATAGTTTAGAATTTCATAAAAACTAGTACAATTGAACTATTCAGGCATGTTTTTTTCTTAGTTCTTATTATGTAGTCTTCAAATACTTTAAAGTTAATTCTGATGGATTTGAGAGAAAGAGCATAGAAAGGAGTTGGATTATTTAAGTAAACAGGCTAGCATGAGCTAACGTGTTTTACTTTTTGTATAAGTAGTATTGATCACATATTTGCATACTAATTTATTTCTGTTGTGAGTTTAAAAAACAAAAAAATACATTCTGTTATGTTCGGTCTCATTTTCAAAAGAGCCACTGTAGAGGGGACCAAAGAGCCACATGTGGCCCCAGAGCCGCAGGTTGCAGACCMCTGGTTTAGAGAGACTGCGTGTTTGTGTCAAAAGAAGATGTGGGATGGAGTTGTAGCCGTTTGGGTCAAACCTTGAAAATGACGTTACGCAAAATCTCACACACTATCGGACCTATAATTGACCCATGTCAAGTTTTAGCTAAATWTCTGAGRGATTCCATGTTTTGTTGTGTAATTTTGATTGTCTGTAGCGGCCATCTTGAATTGGACTGACACCAAATACTAATCAGTTGTAGATGCACATCTAAYGATCACTCTCTGAAAGTCTCATTAAAATCCATTTTGTGAGTCATGAGCTTGTTTACTAACAGACAAATTGAATTAATTCCAACATTTAAGGATGATGTTTTAAGCTGATATGTCACCTAATGTCTTGTGCTCAGACTTTGCRTTGTGAMTGAYTTTCAGCTACTACCACGCCAAATTTTAGCAACAGGTATTTGAAATTAATTGAATTATAGCCCTTTTTGAGTTTTTTATATTTCTATGGCTGTGGCAACTATCTTAAAGTTGGTTGGCTTTGAAAGTTAATCAGTTGTAGATGTACATCTGCTGACTATTTCCTCAATGTTTGATTAAAATCTGTTCAGTGGTTCATGAGATATTTTGCTAACAGACACAGACGGGCAAAAACAGCAGCGAGTGATAAAAAGGGAGAAATGCAGCTCAGCGTCATGCTTAATCACAGTCATTGCAGCAAATAATAAAAATGTTAAGGAATTAAAGTCGAAGTGTGTTACTTCACACAGTTTATTTTGTTTTTGGTGTTTTCTTTGCAGGTCCTGCCCGCCATGGAGCAGTACGAGCTGGACACGTTCGGGAGGAGCCACGACATCATGTCTAATTTCTGGAACTCCTGCTTCGATGACCTGATGAGCACGGCCTTCAAACGAGACAAGGACACGTCCGACAGCAAGTCCAAGTTCCAGGTGAGACGATTGGTTTTAAAAAAAATGCCTCGTTTCACTGATTACGTGAACACACGACACAAACTCTGGAAAACATATATCGACATAAACAGAGAATATCAATGACATTTCCAGTTCCCACGGTTCATAAATGCAACAGCCAGGAATCGTTTGTTCTGCCACCGTGTCGAGCTGTCAGTCACGATTCCACACCTACTGTCCTCTGAGGCCCCGCCCCTAAACACAGCCAGAAGTTTGAAACTGACAAAAACACAATTCTGAAACTAGAAAAACCTCTAGAATCTGTATCTATGTATGGTTTGCTGTTTCATTTCAAAATAAAATGGGAAAAAATGGAATAATGTGGTAATTTTTCCAGTTCTTTGATTTAAAACTAAATTACSAAAACAATTGCAATATTGAAAAAGACTACAATTTTTATTTATTTATTTTTTTTCCATTTCAATGAATAAAGCAATGACAAGCTTTATATTTTGTTCATCATGGCCTGAACTCCTGGAGAATTACGTTTTCACTGAGCACTTTAGAAACTGCCTTCTTTAGGAGGATTCGACGCATCTAGAGAGCTATTTTCTTTTTATCAAAATGGCTTTAATATTGCAAGTTTTGTAGAATCAGGTTTGCGTGCAGCCGCTGCAAATATCTTTAGGGTTGGTTCCCGTCTTCTTCCAGCAAACTTCCTGTTCTTTGGAGACTTCTGTCATTTCTGGTATTACAACAGGTTAAAACAGCAACCACATATTTTATTTTGGATTTAAAAAGTAAAGCACAGTGGTGGGCACAGTTCCCCTAAAGCACTAAACACAAATAGGAGAACTAATTTCCTGATTAGTGCTTTAGGGCTTTTGCTAATTTCTTAATTCATTGGTGGATTAGCACTTGCTAAATTTATGAGCCAAATTTCTAAGCACTAATTGAGTTCTTTAAATATTATTGATCAACATTATTGCCAACAGCTGAGGGTGAAAGCTGTCAGACCTGTTCATATGTGTCACTTATCCACTAGATCAGTAGTTCTCAAACTTTTTTGCTTCCGGCCCACAAAATAAAATTTGCAGACACACGTGACCTCAGATTTTACTTGTTTACGTAGCAAACTTTGCTAATAACTATGTTAAACATGGGAATAAGAACTATAAACAAACCTAATAACTATGATACTAATTTTTATTCAATTATGATTATTTCAAAAAATTGCAATAATAATGATGAAGATATTCCATTAGGATTTTTTTTCTGCATTTAAATTTATGTCTGTAAATCATCTGGGGACCCTCACTTGATGTTTTGTGACCCACAAAGAGGTCCTGACCCCATCTTTGGGAACCACTACACAAGATGAAAAATTAACAACATTCTTCACACAGAAAATATTGTCTCATATTGACTCTTGAGGAATGTTCCATGGGTCAGATGGGTTTTTAGTGCTTTAGAATTAGCTTTTGCTAAATTTTTAAGTGTGTTAGTGCTTTAGAATTAGGGGACCTAAATTTTAAAGTTAGTGCTTTAGAGTTAGTGCAGCTAATTTTTAGATTAGTGCAGCCCACCACTGGTAAAGTAAAACTCAAACGCTGTATTTGTAATTGGTTCAATTTTTTTTTCATGTAAGTTTTGAAAACTGAAAAACAAACAAAAAAATTACATGGTTGTTTTCTTTCTGCAATTTTATTTTGAAACAAACAAAAAAAGAACGAACCACACACAGATTAATCTGACAAGTAGTTGTGATATTTTTTTCCAGTTTAAATTTCTTTCTTTTTTTGTTTCAAATTATTATGATTTTCTAATTTTTATGGCCCCAATTTAGTTCCATAGAAAGGTGCTTACGTGCCGTTTGTCTGACTGTTCAACACAGGAAGTGATCGTGGACCCCTACCTGAAGCGGGTCCGCAGCGAGAACAACCGGTACCACATGTGTCAGAAACAGGGCTCCGGCCAGCAGGGGGTGGTGTGGCAGCACTGGAGAGCTCTCCGCAGGCTGTTCACCTGCGAGAGAGGAGCCTGGGCCAACAGGTACGGCAGCCTCTCGCCTTCACGCACCTTTTCGTTCTCCTGAATGACACGTTTTTCTCTTCTCTCTCCATGTTTGATGACAGAGTCCAGCCGGAGGTGAAGTGGAAACTGTCCAGCGCCGAAACGTACTCCAAGATGCGTCTCAAACTGGTTCCCAACTACGACCACGACACCCACAGTGAGGCCAGCGCTCTGAGGGACAACATGGGTGAGGCACAAACACACAAGCTTTTCCTCTTTGTTTGTGTTTAAACGCTGATTAGAGAAATAAAATAAACTGAAAGAGTCGTTTCTCGTGTGATTAAAAGGAGCTGAAAGCCCCCGCAGCTCGGAGCCCCTCCCCCTGGCTGTTGCCAAAGAGGCGAAAGTGAGAAACATGGAGGATGACCATTTAGAAGAAGAGGACCTGGTCTTTTTGGACAACAAGTGAGTCTTGAATTTCTACAACACGTCTCTGAAAGGAGTGATAAACATTTAGGGAAGGGGTTCTTAACCTTTTTGACCTCGGGGCCCATTTTGTTGAACACAAAGAGGCACGAGGCCCAGTCAGACATTACCAATGTATGGATCAAAATGATAATCATTCTAAATCTTGGTTTAAAATGATAATTATTCTAAATCTTGGTTTAATTTGTATTGTATTTGCATTCTCACTAAATTAAATACACTTACATTTTAAAAGTAAAACTCCTGTCAAATAATCACATGATTATGACAAACATTTTTTTATATTGTAACCTGCCCATAACAAATATTTGAACAAATACAACAGTCAGTCAACAGACCAGTCAAGCTTATTAACACAAAAATATATATTTTTAACATAAACAATAACAAAAGTAGATAATTCAATAAATAACATTGTGATCATAAAATAAATGCTTTCAAAATGTTCACTGTAAATGTTTCAAATAAAAAACCTGTAAAAAATAAATTGGATAAAATGCAACTGAAAAGAAAGCCTTTTTAAACTTTTGCATGGTAAAACCAGAAGCTGCTCTTCATATTAGTGACAAACAATAACAGTAACAGCAGCTTTTTGACAAGTTTAAAGTTTCTTTAAAATATATTCAAAATGTTTAAAAATAAACTACAAAAACTAATTTGATGAAGTGCTAATTAAAATATAGCTGTATCTGCAAATGTATTTGATATTGTTTTGAATTTTTTAAATATTGCATGGTAGAACCAGAAGCTGCACTTCATATTAGTGACAAACTTCGGCCTTTTTTGATGGGTTACCTTTATTTTTGCTTCTACTTTTCATTTAAAATAGGTTTCCACTCTTAGCTGTTATCTAAGGTTCTTCTTATTTATATTTAAAAAGTTGTTAAACTTCTGAGTGGCGCACTAGTGCTGAGAAAGTGTATTGCACCTTATTTAAAATCAATGCCGTCCCATGGTCCAAAGTTAAAATCTGTTCTTTGGAGGCCCTCAAGGTGGCGCTCGCGGCCTATAGTTTAAGAATCTCTGATTTAGGGGAAAAAAACCTAAATCTTGGTTTTCGTTCTTTCAGAGGGGAAGGAGAAGACGAGAGCCAGAAGGAAAAACTGGTCCTGTCTGAGGACTGCGAGCTCATCACCATCGTGGCGGTGGTTCCGGGTCGTCTGGAGGTCACCACCCACCACCTGTACTTCTACGACGGCAGCAGCGAGAAAGAGGAGACGGAGGAGGGTAGGCAACGCGCAGCTCTCTGTTTGATTGTTTCATTTCAGAGGAGCAGGTGAATAATCATCTGTCTGCTGTAGGAATCGGTTACGATTTCAAGAGACCTCTGTCGCAGCTCCGAGAGGTCCACCTGAGGAGATACAACCTGCGGCGGTCTGCGCTGGAGCTGTTCTTCATCGACCAGGCTCACTACTTCATCAACTTCAGAAAAAAGGTTTTCAGTCCCTTTGGTTTTTAATTAGAACACTATTTGCTTCATTTCTTTTGTAACTCATTTTATTTATTACACTGGTCAACACAAAAAAATTGTCTAAGTTATTTTTAGCTGTGTAGGGGTCACCAAGAGTGAAGAAACAAGATTTACTGCCTCGAAGCAGGCCTCGGACAGGCCTGGCGAGAGGACAGGAACTCTGTCACAAACTGAACTCTATTCAGGCCATGAAAGGTCATTCTAACCGTGGAAGAGAACCCCTCAGCTTCTTAATCAGATAATGGACAGAACAATCTCTTCTGTTCGTGATTCATTTGTTGTTTAACTAAGAATGTTTATGCATTTGTTAAATCATGATAATGACTGTCACAGGAAAAGTGGAACGACTTCTTTTCTTTTATCGTGCCTTAAAGATTTATAATGGTATAAAAAAATCACAGAGGATCTGATTATAAAGGTTTTCATTGTGTTTTTATGTAAATCACTGTTTTTATTTTACTGTGAACACAGTAATATAATTGTGGATTTTTCCTGAGAAAATCTTTCATTTATCTGGACTAACAGAAGGTTCAGAACTGATTATAAAACAGAAATGTTAATTAATCATCATAAATGTTTTGCAGTGATTTCTCTTGATGATTAATTAACATTTCTGTTTTATAATCAGTTCTGAACCTTCTGTTAGTCCAGATAAATGAAAGATTTTCTCAGGAAAAATCCACAATTATATTACTGTGTTCACAGTAAAATAAAAACAGTGATTAAATAATGTGATTAGATAAAAACACAATGAAAACCTTTATAATCAGATCCTCTGTGATTTTTTTATACCATTATAAATCTTTAAGGCACGATAAAAGAAAAGAAGTCGTTCCACTT